AACTCTTCATCCATAAAAACCAATTAAACCAGCCCGAGTGCACAACGCACTCTGAAAGTGCAAAGCAATTAGTGGTTTCTCCTTCGCTCTCCATGGAAGGGGCGAGTCCTGCAGGCAGAGCTGGCCGGAGTGACGGGGGAGAGGTCTGGGGTCTGCCTAGGCTCCATCCAGCCTGAGGGGGTCTGCCTGGGGCCGCCAGGGCCTGGCCCCTGCAGCACGCGGCCCCTGGCCACTCACCTTGCCCTCTCTCCTCACCAGGCAGGCCACTTGAGGCCAGGGAGGGGCTGGCGCACGGAGCTGGGCCAGTGCCTATTCCTGGTCTGGAATGGTGTGACCGGGGCTCCCCCGCCCCTCCACCACTGGAGCCCTGCCCACCAGAGTGGGGGAGAGCAGGAGCCGCCAGCAGAGCGCTGGGCCTCCCGCACAGCTGGGTCAAGACTCCGAGCCAGGCCAGGCTGACCTTTCCCAGGGGAACTCGAGCCTCACATCCCAGCCCAGCGCCCGGCCTGCCCCTCCTGCCCAGCGTGGCGCGGGGCCCAAGGGCGGGCAGCCAGCTCCTGGGGCTGCCTGACTCCTGAGGAGGCTGCTCCCTGCACACGCTCGGTCCCCACTCGGTGTAGCCCAGGGCGGGCAGCCGACTCCACGCACACAAGAAGGGAGGGCGCCCACCTGCCCACTGGATCCCTGCAGCTATACCGTCCCTGTCCCGTCCCTCCCCATGCAACGTCCCTCCCCACACTCCTACAATGACAGCCAAACTTCACCCCACAGCTGCTAAGGCCAGGGTCCTAGGGGCTTCTCCACGCCTTGCCTCTCTCCCCCTCACTCTCCGGGTTTTAACAGCTTCCACTTGACCACAGTGACCCTTGCCACAGGGACTTGGCACCTACTGTTCCCTCTGCTGGGATGCACATCCCTCCCTCATTTTCTGATTAATAGCAGCCAGGCCTGGGAACTGACTCCTTCAGTCCTCACAGCAGCCCCATTCCCACTCTGTAACTAGAGGGCCTGGGTTCAAGTCCCAGCTCCACCAGTGAACAGCTGCGTGACCCTGGGCAGCTTCCTTAACGTCTCCGGGCCTCCGTGTCCTCATCTGGATAAAGGACCTAATAACAGCACCTGCCTCCTAAGGTTGGCGGGGACGAGGTGACTGAACACACGTCAAGCCCTTAGCAGTCTCTGGCACCAGGAGTACTGAGACGTACTCGACACTGTTACTTGGTCTTCCCTACTACTTCATGCTTTGGGGTCAGCCCAAGGGCCCTTTCCTCGGGCCACCCTCTCTGGCCAGGTGGAAGCCCCAGCGCCGTGGAACCTCCTCCACGGGTCATCTGACACCTGCTCAGCAGGTCGCTCACCTCCACCCACTTCCGAGAGGTGCAGACGAGGGGCCAGGACCCCGAGAGGGGCAGGCACCGGCTCGGGGTCACACCCGCAGGGGCAGAACGGGGACTCGAACCAGGAAGAGAGCTCCAGAGACTGTGAGGAACCGAGGGCCTGCCACTTCTGAGCGCCTACTGTATACCGAGGACTGTACACACACGTCGAGGCCCCTGGGAGATGGCACTCAGCTGCCCTTTAGAGAACAAGGGACAATGAGGCCGAGACAGGGCCAGGCCAGGCCAGGGCCACACGGCCAAGGAGCTGGCTAGTTACAAACAGCGACAGGGAACTCAGCAGGCCGAAGACACCCGCGCCCTAAGCTCTTCCCTTTTTGCCTCCAAAACCCCAAAAGGGGGCTGTACGGGGGTGAAGAGGGTCCTCCCAAAATTTGTGTTCCCCTGCAACCTGTGAATGCGACCTCGTTTAGAAACAGTCTTGACAGATGTGATTGAGTTAGGGTGAGGTCACACTGGATCAGGGTGGATCCTTCTAGAAGAGGGAAATTTGGACAGAGACACACGGAGGGAAGATGGCCATGTGGAGACAGAGGCAGAGGTGGAGAGATGTGTCTACGAGCCAAGGAACGCCAAGGATGGCCGGCCACCCCAGAGGCTGGAGGAGGCAGGCAGGATCCGCCCCCGGAGCTCAGAGGGAGCGCGGCCCGGCTGCTCCCTGATTTCAGACTTCCGGCCTCCAGAGCCGCGAGAGAAGACGTTTCTGTGGTTCCTCAGCCGTCAGAGTTTGTACCTTGTGACGGCAGCCCCAGGACACTAACACAGTGGGGGTCCTCTCACTCCCACTGGACAGATGAGGAAACTGAGGCAGCTCATCCTTCAAGGCCAGGCTGCCGGAAGTCTTCCAGGATCTTCCGGGCAGGCTCTCTAGTTCCACGCCCCAGGGACACCTGGCTGCTCGTCGCCCTGGGATGGCTCATCCACGCTCTGCCCAGGGCGAGGCACGGGGTTGATTTAACCGCTGGGTAGAAGGACGGGAGGATGGCCCCCGTCTCAGGCACAGCTGGTTCTCGGGTCTTTTCCTGGGTTTCTGAGAGCTGGGCAGGGGGTATCGCAGCATTGCCAGCCCCCCACCCGCCCGCTGCCAGGAACACACGGCCATCAGCAGCCACGCCGAGCGGTAGCTGTCCCGACTGCTGTAACTCACGTCGGATGAGCACGCGGGCGCTCAGCGCATTATTACAAATGTCACTGAGCAGGGCCTCGGCGCACGTCTCCGTGGGCAGCACCCAGGATGAGCTCACTGCCGCTGCCGAGGACCCAACCTTGAGACCGTGGGGCACAGCCCCGTCTCGGCGATGAGTCACCCGGCCGACCTCCCGGATCTGCCCTTCCAGAGGGATGGCAGCGCCAACTCCCGGCTCCCAGGCAATGGGGAGGAGCAGGGGCCCGGGCTGCCCTGACGACAGAGACACGTGGAGGGCAGGGAGAGGCCGTGGGGGCGCAGGCCAGCGGTCCCGGAAACGCACCCCCGAGGGCAGGCACCCCCAAAACATCACGGCCAGCGGCCGAGACCTGGGTCCCGTGTGTGGTTAAAACACCCATGCAATTCTACACAAACGTCCACAGCTCTGCTCATATCAGCCACAGGAAACAACACACATGCCCCTCAACCAACACGTGGACGCACAGACCGCGGTACGCCTACACCGCAGAATACGAGGCAGCCGTAGCAAGGACGGGAGCGCGACACCTGCTGCGGTGTGGACGCGCCCGAAACCACGAGGCAAAGTGAGAAGCCAGACGAAAACGGGCTCGCACCACAGGGCCCCACACGCGTGCAAGTCCAGAACCGGCAGACCCACGGAGACAGAAAGCAGATCGGGGGGCCAGAGGCTGGCAGGGCCTTCGGGATTGGGGAGCGACTGTTGATGGGTACGGGGTTTCCGTGTGGGGTGATGAGAATGTTCTGGAACTGGATAGGGGGGTGGCTGCACAACACTGTGAATGTACCAAATGCCACTGAATTGTTCACTTTTAAATGGTTAAAATGTTAAGTTTTATGTTATGTGGATTTTACCAACATTAAATAAAAGGGGGAAAAAATTGCACAGTTTCAATAAAGCCTCTTTTGCACCCCACAGCAAAACCCACACTAGCAATCAAGAACTATATGTGAAAGACAGAAGAAAACGACAACATGGCCCCTCAGGGGGCTGACAGCACCCCGTCCCTGCCAGCCAGAGACAACGCCCACGGGCCCCTCATGTGCACTCCTTTAATCTGTGGAACACAGGACCCCAGCCTACAGGAGGAAGTGGGCGGCACCTCATCTTCTGAATGAGGCTGAGGGTCCTGCAGGCCCCTCCTCCAGGCCCCCCTCACCCGGGGGCTGGGAGCTTGGAGAAGGAGGTCGGGGCCTCAGAGGCGTGGGGCCACGGGTCCCCGGGCAGGGGGTAGGGGGTTGCTCAGGTCTGAGGTGGCTCCTGGTCACTTTCTGGCCCCTCAGCACCCCTTCTCTGGTTGCGGGGGCAGGCGGCCTTCGGTCCAGGGTCTCGGCCTCCAGGCCGGACTGTCCTCACACACGCCCGCCCCCGTGCGCCCAGGGCCCTCACTAGAAAGGCCTTGTTCCCTCATGAGTCACGACCCGGAGCTACGGGCACAAAGAAGCCGCACTTCAGCGGGGCCTCAGCGGGGCCCGGGGCCGAGAGCCAGGAGGCCCGGGCTCGCTCCAGCCCCACGCCCCCGCTCCAGGAACCGGGCAGTGCTCGACCCCCGCTGCTCGCTCCCACCTTGGGAAAACGGGGACAGAAACGAGACCCACCTCTCAGGGCTGGGGTCAAGATAAAGGAGAGTGAGCAGGTGACACAGGTCGGGTGCCGCCCCAGCCTCAGCGCCGTCCCCACTGCGCTGGTCCGACGGCCCTCAGGGGCGTGGCGAGGGAGGGGCGGGCAGAGGGTCTCCCAGAGACGGGGGGAGTCCACACCGACGCTGACCGTGCCGGGCCACCCTCAGACCCTCAACACTCCTTATCTCTGGTTCCTCACAGCCAACCTGGATGCCCCTCCATGGCACAGATGGGGAAACCAAGGCAAAGAGACGGGCCACGGAGCCTGGACGTGAAGGACCCAGCTCTTCTGGCTCCAGTGAACACACTGGTGGCTTCTGAGAGAGGATGTGGGGTCAGCACACAGCCGCCAGCCACCCCCAGCCCTGCCTCCAGGGAGACGGCGCAGCAAGGGCGACAGTCTGACCCTGCGACCCCACCGCGGTGGCAACCAGCAGGCTCTGCCCCTCCCTCCATTCACCCACGGGTGCTGCCGCCACTCTATCTACAAGACCACAAGGTGCCGACCCCGGAGGTCACGAACCGTCCACCGACCGACCGAGGGCACAGTGTGGGCTGAGTGAGTCTGAGCTGTCCCCGGCGTCACCCTGGGGACACTGGAGCCTGAAGATGCAGCCACATAGACCCGATTTCTGGAGAGCAAAACCAAGGCTCCGAGGAGACCAATCCGAGAACAGCCCAGAAACAAGGCCTGCCCCACCAGATGGCATCACAGCCCCCAGTTCAGGGGCAAACGTGTCAGCATCGTCCCCACCACGCGAGTCTCAGACCCGGACGCAAACCGAGGGCGATCAGAGCCGCTGGAGAGCCCTCACCTTTCTTGGCTGTTTCCATCTCTTCCTCGGTCCAGCGAGAACTCTCGTTCATCTCCATCGAGGCTGGAAAGGGAGACAGCTGCGTTGGCGGCGGCCTGGAGCCAGGTGTCTGCTCTGCCCCCGCCACCCGGGGCACCGCTGAGCTGTCCTCGCACCAGGTCCAGCCCCACGGGTCCACGGGGTGGGGGTGGGGGAGGGTGCAATCACTCCTTTTTACAGGAAGGAGAGGGAAACTGAGGCAGCCCAGGGCCTGGACTGTGACAGCCTCTGCATGCACACGGTCGGGAGGGGGCCCACCTGGGAGTGCGGTGACCGTGGGGGTGAGGGGGCAGGGACCTCACATGAGCAGGACACACGGGGGCCGGATGACTCTACTGTGGGGGCCGCTGGGCACTGCAAGACGTGCAGTGGCATCTCTGCCTTCTTCCCACAGATGCCAGCAGCCCCCCTCCAACTGTGACGACTAAAAATGTTTCCAGACACGGCCAACTGTCCCCTGGGGGTGACCATGCCCTGACTGAGAACCTGCTCCACAGGTGACTATTATATTCTCCTCCAACCCCCCCCAACCCCGGCACAAGGACGAGGCTCCTGCCGTCATGGAGGGGGGACATGGCTAGCCTGAGGATCGGGCAGAGCTGGCTGAGTCTCTGCTGTTCCCCTGGGTGTGAGCCTGCGTCCTTCCCTGCAAACTGCTTAAGACGCCGTGAAGAGGCAGACACAAGGGACCAGCTTCTCAGACTCAGAGCCTGGAACAGCACGGGGCACAGAGAATGCGCTCGGCAAACACTGGCTGACCAGTGGAGGAACGTTCCGGCAGGAGGGGAATATGAGGAAGCAGCTGGCAGCCTCCCCCCTCGCTGCTCCCACCACCTGCCCACCTATGGATCTCACCAGCTTTCCCCTTCCGTCCCACAGGACCCCAGGGAGGCTGTGGAAGTCTGAGCCCGGGGCGGGGGGTGGGAACAGCCCGTTAGAGGGCCCGGGGTTGTGTTTTCCACCCCACAGTTCAGCTCCAACATCGGCCTGGGGTCCAGAGGAACCTCCCAGAAGTCGGGCACACCAGCGCACTTCTGAAGAGAGCCCTCCTGCCCTGCCCTGGGCCTCCAGGCACGCAGCACCGAGGGGCAGCTGGAGCAAGCCTACGGGAGCCGCACAGGATTGCTGGCCACTGGGGCTGGGTTTGAATTCCAGCTAACTCCACAACTTTACAGAGGCAACGTCCCTTCTCTAAATCTCACACAGCCCATCTATGAAATGGGCACAAATTCCCTGGAAGAAGGGATGGGAGCTGGCACAAATCCCGGGTCGGGGGGAGGGGGTGCCAGTAAAATGCAACATCACCTCCACCAACTCCAGCCGTGGGAAGGCATCCTGGGGGTGGAGCCTCGGGTAGGGGCTCCCCCAGAGCGGGAGGCAGGCCCCAAATGGTCCAAATGGTACAACGGGCACACATCCGCTGCCCCCCTGTGGCTGAACTTGGGAACTGCTACTCAATTCTCCTCTCTTTCCCCTTGGGGCAGGCGGGAGGCTCAGAGCTCCTGGGATGGATGTGGCTGAGCAGAGGAGAAACTGAGGCCCACGGAAACGGAGATACAAACCCAGGCGCCTCTCAGGGCTGGGGGCGGGGCAGGGTGGGGACAGGCCCTTCTAGGTGGTGGCTGCCTGGCTCCAACAACTGTTACCTGGTAGAAATGCAGACCCAGTGCAGCCAGATCTGATTTAAACAAAAAACCGAAACTGGATCTGCATTTTTACGTGAACTCTCCCAGCTCTGCCATAACGCTGATAGCACGGCGCCCGTCCCATGCCCCAGGCATGGCTCTAGGCTCTTCCACACAAAGTCACTGGACTGCTCGCCCGTGGTGTGGGCAACCACTGTGAGGACACTGAGGCACAGAGAGGTTAAGGAACTCACCCCAGGTCACACAGTGAGTCCACAGCTAGAGCAGGGACTCGGAGCCCACTGAGCCTCCGGCGCCCTTCGCCGCCAGCGACTCACCCAGCTCGGCGCTCTGCTGCGGGGTGGCGGCCTCCTCGCTGTTGGCCTCACTGGCCATGGAGCGTGTGATGCGGCCTTTGCGTCGCCCCTGGCTGTTGGCGGTTTTTCGGCCTTTGGAGGCCACTGCTTCCTTCTCATCGTTGTCCTCCCCAGAGGTGTCGTCCGTCTTCTCCCTAAAGGCCAGAGAGGGGAGACAGGGATGGTTTCCCCGCAGCCAGGAACCCAGACGGCAGTTTCGAGAGACCCGCTTTTCTTTAGCTAGACGAGTACTGGCTGCCAGCGTTTCTGTACGGACGGATGCTAGAGGGGCAGCTCCGGTAGGGCGGCTGGTCGGTCACAGCCTGTGACGCTTCTTTATTCACTGGACGTGGGGTGTGGCTGGGAGTTAACTGGACGGCTATTTCGTCCACCCAGTGGGGTACGGGTGGGTGGCTACCTGCAAGACCATTTTATACGCCAAACAGAGATGTTCTCTGCTCCCTGTGAAGACTACTGGATTAGATGATGGAGTGCAGGCCGGCACAATCTACGAGGCCACGTGACCCCCCAAAGAGACGACGCCAGCCGGGCTTGATGGACGGCACCACTTCTGTTTTGGTGTCATCACGCGCCACTGTGCCCTGAGGAACGCAGGAGGAGAGCTCTTGCCCGTCTCATGCAGGCCGAGCCAGGTGTGTGGGCGCGTGTGACCTCAGTACCCAAGCTGGGGCTTTCTCGGAAGCCAACTGGGGAGAGCTGACTGCGGGCCGCTCAGATTTATCCCCTCCGCCTCCCATTCGTCTTCCTGAAGGCCCTCGCTGGGACGTCTGGGAGACGGGGGTAACGACGCCAGATGTTCTCTGAGCCACATTCCTGAGCCCATTCCAGGTACCCGGCGCTCAGCTGTGCCCGCCCCCCTTCTCCGAGCATCTCCAGCTGGCCGTGCTCGGCGCCCGCCCCTGGCAGGCACGGGAGGCTGTCAGGGCCCCGAGGCGAGGCTGTGCCTTGTTCTGCAAGAACTCACGCTGACAGCGATAATTCTAGAGGTGAGGCGGCCGCCTGCCTGCTAGTCCTTCTGCGAGCTCGTCTGATCCTGCTCCCGGCATCTCGGGAGACTGGGCCAGGAGGGGAGAGAGGAGGAGGCAGAGTTCCCAAGTCACTGCCTGGATTTATCAGCTCAGGAGCAGAGCTCAAACGAGCTCTCAGTCTCGAAGGTCTCGGAGGAGTTGAGTCAGAAAGGGTGGGCGGGAGGAAGGAGAGGAGCGGGCTTCCGGAAGGGGGGCTGCCGGGGACGGTCAGAGCAGAAAATACCTCCCTTCCCGGCAGGTAATTTGCAGGCGCCAAATTGCCAGGCCCTCACACACCTCTACCGGGGGCCCCGAATTCGAGCTGAGTACAGACCCCCGCCCCGCCCCGGGGCCGCGGCCGGGAGGCCTTACTTGATCAGTTCCTCCTTGTCATTCTCCACGTCGGGCTTCTCCTCCTCCTTCTCGGCCTCCTTCTCCTTCTCCTTCTCCTTCTCCTCCTTCTCCTCCTGGGTGCTCCGGGGCATCTGCTGCTGCTGCTGCTGCTGCTGCCAGGCCCCGGGGGGGAGCGGGGGGAGGAAAACAGTGAGACAGGTGGGTCTGCGCACCTGGCTAGGCGAGCTGGGAGGGCGCAGGATGGGGTCCGCGGAAGAGGCAGAGGATGCTGTGGGGAGCGAGGGCTCGGACCCCAGGCCCCGCTGGGCTGCCATGAACTGGGAGAGGCCACGCCTGGGGGGCGGCGGCCCATGGGGCCTGGGGAGGCGGGGGGGCACGGGATGGGGTGCGGGTTTGACTCCTGCCTCCCCTACTTGGTGGCTGTGTGACCTCGGATGAGGGTCTTAACCTCTCTGTGCCCTGATCCCTCCCCCTGAAAGCAGGGGTATTCAGCGTGCCTCCACCTCAGCCAGGGGCTGGGAGGCTGACACGAGAAAACCCTTACAGAGCTCAGAGGACAGCATCTGAACCGGGTATTTAAGTGAGGCAGAAGCCGCCAACGCCAGCGGGAGGGGCCCTGGGCAGCCTCAGCAGGAGCGAGGTGAGCATCGGGGACCTGGGGACACACCCCTGACGCCCCAGCTGTGCCCCACCCACAGCACAGCTCAGGCCACCTCTCTAGGCCTCGGTCTCCACGTCTGTAAAGTGGGCAGGAGGGAGCGGTGTCCCCAGCTCCCCGCGCCTGGTCGAGGGTGGCTGCTGCTGTGATGAAGGCCCACTCCTGCTGCCGTGGGCTCCTCTCCTTGTCACGTAGGCACACCCCCCCCCCACCCCGCAACAGGAGAGGGCGCCCACTTTACAGGGAGAGCAAAAGAGCTCATCACAAAACCAGCCCCTCCGAGGCCTCTCTCATCTCCTCCTGAGCAGGTGGGGCAGGGAGGCGGGCTGGCCAGTCTGTCCCGACCACACTGGGCCGCTGACCTGCTCTCACCAGGGCAGGGGAGGAGGTGGGAGCAGCCGGCTCCTTCCTGCGCCGCTGCCCTACTTCCTTTCTGTCCCGCCTGATTTCTTTTAGAGCGCACACTGATTCTCTTAGTCACCCCAAATTCCCATCAGGCAGCTGCCAAACCAGACCATCTTCCCACCTCGCTAGCCCAGTGAAATGGAAACCAACCTGCCAAAAAGCCTTCCAGTGTGTGCTGGGGCCTGGTCACCATTTCAAACCAAAGGGAAAGAGACCCACGCAAGGGGGGGTGGGGGGGAGCCGCTTTCCCCTGGTCTGTTCTCCTCACCAGGAACACGCGCCCGCCCAGCGCACGAGGCTGCCCTGCCCTGCGGCCCCGCCCTGGACCCTCTCCTGCAGGTGTGGCTGATGATTCAGGATGCGGGGAGCACAGGGGCCCTCTGCGGACGCTGGGCGCAGAGCGAGGGTCTGCATACTCACGGGGGCCCGTGGCTGCAGCCGTGTCCACCCCAGAACCTCCTGGCTGGCGTCTGCCCCCCTTCCCCAAGAACCCCCTCTATTCTGTAAGAGGAGGGGCAGGGGCGGGACAGCCTTTCCCCCACCGTGTCACTGCAGATTCCCTGAACCAGCCTGGCCCTCGCCACCCCCCAAATCCCTCCAACACTAAAGCGTAACCTGTCAACAGCCCAGGGCCGCAGCCCCCCACACCGTCGGAGGCTCTTCTGGAGCCGGCCCAGCAGGCGGGGTGGGGAGGGGGGTTTTCCGGATTGTCCCAACACCGCATGCCCTCTCGGCCTGACGTGGGCGCAGAGGGCGAGTGGGGATCAGGGACCAGGACCCAGGGTTGGGGGGAGACGGCGTGGCCACCTGGGAAGGGGTCCGCCCCACGACCGCCCGGCGTGGCTGCGTCTGCACCAGTCAGCGGTGCCGGCCTCCGAACCCCCGGGACCCGACGCCCAGGCTGGGCCGGGGCTTTCCAACCGCAGGGAGCTTGGCGTCCCCTGGGCCTGCCCTCGGCTGCACCTGTGCCAAGACCACCGCCGGGCTGCAGCTTCACTAGACACTCTTCCTGCTGTCCCTCCCAGCGGCCGCACTCCTGGAGCGCCTGCCGTCAGCCCCGGGGTCCAGGCTGCTGGGCCTCCCAGCCCCCTGGGATGTCATCCTCGGGCCACAAGGCGGACCACCGTCTGCCCCAGCGTGGCCAGCAAAGGCGGCTCCCCACCCACCGAGGCCCAGGCGCCAGCCCAGCCCCCAGCCCTGCACGGACGAACCCCGGCTCCCGAGGGCTGGTGCCCCGAGCCTGCACCTGCGCCCACACCGGCCAACCGCCTTCCTCCGCGGCCTCCTCCCATCCTAAGACAGCCGCGACCCTCGAAAAACCCTGCCGAGGAAGAGGCCAGCATTTCCCGCTTCCTAACGCCCGACGCTGCGCTGGGCAGGGTCCGTCACCAGACCCTGGCCCTCTGAGGTCCCAAGAATGACGATGAGATGGAGACACCAACAGCCACGGCACCAGGGCCTCGTCCACGGGGGACACCCTGTGTCCGGCACCACGCCGAGCGCCTTGCGAACACTGTCCGGTTAACGCCCTTAGCCAACCCGGGGCGGCCACCGGCGGTGGTCGTGGCCCCATCCTGCAGAGGAGGACACAGGCCCAGAGGCCAGAGCCTCACCGTCTGTGAGGGAGGGTGCTGACGGCCCAGGGACAGCGGGTGCGAGCCTGTTGGCCCCAAACCCCGAGAGAGTCACCCAACTCCACCAGGCCAGAATCTGGGCCTCGGGCGGGGGTCTGTGGGCATCCCCGCCCCACCCCTTTCTGCCGAGCCCACACTGAAGCCCATCCAAGACTCTCTGAGCCCCCGCCTGGGCCTGGACGGCCCATAACCCCTCCCTGAACCATCGCCCACATCACGGCATTAACAACACAAACAGCCACGGGCCGGGCACCGTCTACGCACTGCGGTCACCTCCTTTACCAACCCCTGGAAACTCACAGAAGCAGAAATGAGGCAGCGAGCGGGTGAGTGACAGCAGGGCCAGGACTCAGACCTGGAGCCGTGGCTCAGAGCCCCGTGGACAGGCCCCTGGTTCCCTGTGGCCTGAACCCCACCTCCCGCGGGAGGGGCGTCCCTGCACCCCGAGCTGAGGGACGTGGTGGAGGAGATGGAAGGGAGAAATCCCAGGTCCGTCCCGGCCTCAAACGTGTCCTCCAGCGGGGAGGACCCCTCGGGCCCAACGACGACCAGCTGCTGGCCCCTGGTGCAGGAGGCCGGTGGGCCCACGCAGGGGCAGTCCACTGTGGGACATGACGGAGCGAGAGGGAGGCACCGGGCAGCCAGCTCAGCCCCCGAAAGCCTGCGACGCTCTAGGACAGCAGACACGGCCGCCGCTAACTCACGAGGGTAAACGCTTAGTAGGGCTGCACGTCTGCGTCTCAGGCCCATCCGCGGATCACAGAGCTGCACCTGCTAGATTTCACGGGCAACTGAGAGCCAGTCCTCACGGCCAACGGCTGGGCTGCACGCACGGACGGCCAGGGGAGCTGTGGAAGTCCTGCCGCCAGGCCCACCTACAGCCATCACATCAGCATGCCGGGCGCGCCCCAGGCATGGGCGTGTTAAATTCCAGGTCATTCCAGCAGGCAGCCAAGTCCGAGAACTGGGGCCCTAGACCAGGAGCCGGCAGACCTAGTCTGTAAGGCCCAGGTGGTAAACACCTGAGGGCCACTGGTCCATTGGGCTCTGTCGCAACTACTCAACCCTGCCCTTGGCAGGCAGCGTGGAAGCAGCCAAAATGTAAACTAATGGGTGTGGCCTGGTGCCAATACAACTTTATTTACAAAAACAGGAGGCGGGCCTGCCTACAAACACCCTGCTGCAGACCAGCACCGCTTAAAGTGGCTCGTGCCCACGGATCACCTGGCGACGCTGGGAATGGAAGATTCCGATCCAGTGGGTCTGGGTGGGCCTGAGACTCTGCATTTCCAAGCAGCTCCCAGGGGAGGCTGAGCTGCTGGCTCCCCGTCCACACTCTGAGCTGTTTCACAAAACACACCCAGGACCTTTGCATCGGCAGCAGGTGAGGCCTGTGGACCCGGGAGAAGAACCGGAAGCCAAACCCCACCCTCTGAAACGACTGCAGAGCTCACGACGGGGGTCCTACCTCTGCTTTTCAGACACGTCATCAGTCAGCCCAACGATGGGCTTCACGCCGAGTGCCTGATGGGGAAGGTCCCCCACAAACCACAGCGCGGCTCTGCGGAAACCTGACCCATGGTGAGCAGAGCCATCAGCTCAAGTCCCCGAGGGACCCTGCTTCCGGAGCACTGAACGCTGGACAAGCAACCTGTAACAGCCTGCGCTGTGCTGAAGGCCCTGACCGGGGCTGCGTGGAAAACAGCATGAGTAAAAACAACAAATGCTCACTGAGCACAGCACGGTCTGAAGAGGCCGTCTTGTCCTCATTTCATACCTGTGAACTGAATCCTCCCAACAATCCAGGTATTATCTCTGTTTTATAGACGAGAATACAAAGACACAGAGAGGTTAAGTAAGTCACCCAAGGACACACAGCATTTTCTAGCAAAATCCTACGGCCAGGTACTCTGCCTCCCACCCTGGGCTAGGGGATCACAGGCTCCTTCTCACCCCCATTTAAGCCAAAATGCACCACCTCCTTGTCCGTTCCCTCCGCAAGCGTGCTCTGAGCCCCCGGGGGACACCAAGCCACATGCGGAACTAGAGGCAGAGGAGGAGCAGCAACAGGACAGCGGGAGGAGGGAACTCTGAGGAGGCGCAGCCCGCGGCAGACGGGGCAGCGAGTCCCCCTGCCCCCGGGGACCAGGGAGGACGCCGGCAGAACGGCACCTCCTGGCCGATCAGGTAGAGAAGGACGAGAGAGGGCGTTTCGGGGAAGGACCTGCACGAGCAGAGGCGCGAGGATGTGAAGATGCCCACCATCCTGACCGGACGACAGACTGGACGTGGCGGGGGAGCCCGGCGGCTTTAACGCCCATGCTCAGGAATTCGGGTGGTGTCCTGAGGGCGGTGGGCAGCCCCTGAAGGCTCTTCCGGAAGGTGGAGAGCAGGCGGGGAATGACGCGTTCCACCCTGCCCACGGGCAGGGCGGGAGCTGGTGGAGGGGACGGCCGTCA